GCGAAATATATTCGCCGAAAGCTTGGCGAACTTATAAAAGTTATTGTTCATTGGACAACACCCCTGATCCATATCTAGAATTAAGAACTGCTGGTCGATAACTACATCTTTATTTCATTTATTTTTTATTTATTTTATATATTTCTTTTGGAAAGGCGATCAAACACTAGGATCATGTCCGCCTTGATACATAATAATTATAATGAAAATTAAATTTTGTTAGTTAGGCTATTAACTCGTAAAAATTGAAATTTCCTAATATTTAATTTATTGAAATTGATATATTTATGGTTCTTTTGCCGTTACTATGGCTAGGGCAGTCTACTAGTAAGTGTTTTACAGATTTATTCACAGTTTTGACCTTGGATAATTGGTCTCGTGACAGCAAATAACCATGAGTAAGACAGGTATGGCCAATTCTTAGTCTTGTTAACATCGCTTCTTCAAATCTAGATTGTCTAATTATTGATTTCCAAGGACTAACACTACTTTTTATTTCTTTTAGCTTGTTGTCCGTTACATTGTTCTACTACAACCATTAGAATTTTCCCTCTTTTTGCCATTTTCAAATGTCGTGTAATCAGGATTCGATTCTGAGCAACTTATGAAGTCGCCAGGGGGTGCTATTAGTGAAGTGATACTTCTTTTACTTATTAAATATGAATCCATTTACGTTTTAGTGGTCAATTGATCGAGTTACTTCTTTCAATTAATTATTCTTTTAATGCAAGGTCTTGGTTGAGACAAGTCAGTGTCACGAGCGGGATTCGAACCCACGACCATCGGCTAAATACGCCGCTCCTCTACCACTTGAGCTATCGTGACTTCGATCATCTTGGACAACAACTCTCTATCTCAACCTACAACCGTTCGGATTCGAGAGGATCGAAGTCACTATAGCTCAAGTGGTAGGGCAGCGGCGCATTTAGCCGAAGGTCGTGGGTTCGAATCCCGCTCGTGACACCGACGTTTTTTCTCAACCAAGACCTTGCATAAAAAGAACAAATATTAAATAATAATGCGATAAGCATATTTGGAGATAGTGATATGCGGTCTGGTGTGATGTAGGTTTTAGAAAAATATTTTCTTTGTCGTGCCAAGGTTTTGAACTTTATTGAGATCATATTCAGGGCCTGGGATTCATAAACATTGTTTAAATTTTACAAATACATGTAGGATGTGGAAAAAAACTAACGGTAAAAACTAGACTAACGGTCACTAAACACCACACATTATTAATGAAATTGGTAATTTTCCAATTGAAAGTTGTCCAGTGGAAAAAAAAGGTTAGCGCTGCATTTTAATTTTTTAGTATGAAAATTAAATTATAACAACTCTGGAATTTATTGCATATTGATAGTGGTCATAATTGACTTTTTAATCTGTTAAATAAATTTAAGACTTCACATTGTATACAGTTTTAATTTCTTTTTCCGCTAATTTTACCTTTAGCCGCACAGACGATAACATACAAGAAAAAAGTGCTATACATTTATCGTTTTCTGTAAGATTAACAATATATTACCAGAATCGGTCAAGTATCGTAGATCGTAGTAGCGAGAAAATTTCTCTGCTTTTACGGCAGGGTCCACGTTAGAAATCGAGGATGTGGAAAACATCCTGAATAAACCCCTGTGGGACCGGGACCTGTCTCCCGGGTAAAACGTGGCCTAGCCGTTTGACGTCGAACGTATAATCTCTAATTGCAAGATCTCTATTACTTTTCGTTTCTTTTGGGTCGAAAGCTTTTCCGCATTTCTTCGTTGTCACTTGGGGACGGTCAATTTCCCGTGTTGAAAACCCCGAGATGTGTTTCCCATTCGATGTCCTAGTCGACGCACATACAAATTATCACTCTCTCTCTCTCTCTCTTTCACAAACAGAAGAGAAAAGTAATAGACGCCGGGAGTCGAGAATTTGAAAAGGAAAAGAATAGAAAATTAATATGAATTGTGTTTGATTTAATTAGGTCCTATTTACCTGAACTCTCTCTAATTAGTAAAAGTTGTAAATAAAAACTGTTATCTGTAAAATTCAAACCACGAAGGCAGACTTCGTTGCCGAAAAAGGAAGATTTTTCCCGACGAGAAGTACGCTCTCAAAGAAAATCATCACTCTTATCTTCTCTTTTTTTAGATTCTAATTATAAAAGGAAAACTCCTCCGCCTTTAAAAGTCGTGGTTCAATGTTAATAACTTGCCGTCTGGACCCGACACAGGTGAAATTATAAATCTGGCATATCTGTAGATGCTGTCGAGATTATCTCCTTAGCGCGAATAAAAAGAAGAAAATAGTTGACAATTCCCTAGGCTAAACAAGGGGACCTAAACAAACATGCTTACTCAATTCTTTTTAAGTGCAGTGGTTTTATTTTTAATGTGCGGTGTTTAGTCACCTTTAGTTAATGATATGATTCGTGAGATGCGGTCTGGAGTGAGGTAGGTTTTGGAAAAACATTTTCTTTATCGTGCCAACGTTTCGATCCTTATTGAGATCATCTTCAGAGCTCAAATTGTTTGTTTTCTGTATAGATGTGTCATTCTTGTTTGTCGTGGGCACTCTCAACACGTCACACAAGAATGACACATCTGCACGGAACCGCATCTCACGATCTCCAAATAATCATTTATTTTTAATATTTATATGACGAATCTTTTGCCTGCGAATTTGAATAATTTAAGTTGTAACGGTTACCCTTGTTTCAGATTTGTTCAAATGCATATTGTTATCTGAGAATTAAGTTTGTAATAGAGTTAATATACAGGCGATTGCTTTTCAGACGGAAACAATAGAATAATTTTACCAAATTATTTTAAGACCGTTAAAATTAACGGTTAGGAGGTAAGAAACTAGAGATTTTGCATATCATTTCCGCAAATTCAAGGTCTCCGTTGTATTTAACGTCTTTCAGTTGCATAACGGATTTTGCCGCTAACGCTAAGTTTCCTGGGGAGTTTGTAGTAGTGCACGTTATAGTCGTTTTTTGAAAGTTTGTAAATAAAGGCACCGATCAAGGATGTTATGGTTTTTCTCCCGACTGCTGACGATAGTTTGGCAAATTCTGAGGAACTGAGAGTAGAAGAAGCTCGAATGTACAAAGTAAATATCAATAACAGCGTTGGTGATTCGGGGCAAGTTCGGTTTAAATGAAATTGTGGATGAAAAGGGTAAAAAGGGAGGGGGAAGCGTTTAGCTTATCTTAGTAATTTTAGATAAAAATAAAATATTACACTACCGTTAGTTAAACATATGCATACTTATTATAACCAAATTCTATTGCTGTTTCTTAGAATTTTAGCCTTTTAAAAGGTATTTACGAATTTCAGCCGGTTTAAAAGGTTTGTTTTAGACCATTTCTGTAGCTTTATTGGAGGAAAGATATAGCTCGAGGAAAGAAGCTGAATTTCTAGATAATTCATGAAAACTTGTACAATTGTAAAATATTACTTGTAAAACGATTTTAATATATATTTCTACATCTATGTAATATTATCTAGGACAATATTTCAAACAAAAAAACTACTTTGTTCACTTTACAGTCACCCGTTAACCGGCACGCTATTCTAAGACAAATAACGTAGGACGCTATTCAGTTAATCCATCAAATATGCACATGCGCATTTGAATAAATTTGGCGTTACCATTCGCACTAACTTTAAGCGAAATCTTCGGAAGAGGTCAAAACAGAGAAAACTTCATTACGGTNTTCCGAAGATCCTCTGAAAAGACTTCTTGTATCCAGCAGGTCGATAATCTAGTTCATCGTTACATTTAAGCGAAATCTCCGTAATCCTAATACTCCCTCCTAAGAATAAAAAATAAAGTTGTTTTTAATACATATAAATAACATATAAAACATGTATGGGACGAAATGTATAAGTTATCAATATACACGAATGTCGAGTAAAAGCTCCTGAAAGGGAAAAAATAAGGCTGAATCCATCAAATAAACATTTTAAAAATGTGTACTCTCCACGCTTAGTTGGGGCCAGGGAAGGGCGATATATTTAAATGCATTGATGTACATATCAAATGTACGTGTCGTAGTTCATATATCTGTAAAACGGATGCATCAGCTCAAAAATTTTTGATTTATTCTTTTTTTAAATATATTTATTACAACGTGTAATTCATTAAATTTTCAATTGACATGGATCATGTGTCGCAAGGGAAGTTACCAACCATTGTTTTTCTCCCAGCTATACGCGAGGACTAATCCTCGAGCAGTAGGTAGCGAGGCCATGTCCTCTTCTGTCGCCTGGTGGGATTATAGAGGTGGTTTCGATTAGAAACAATGGGGCAGTTCGGCTGGGTTGAGAGGAGAGTTTAGTGTGGAAAGTGGAAAATGTTTTGGAATTTAGTTTTTGGACGAAAAGGATTTTGAGATCGTTGTAAATGGTGTTGTTGGAGGCATAGTAAGGAGCATTTACTATGACTCTGAGGAATTTGGATTGGAAGGACTTCTTTGGATGTTGGAAGGTTTGGCGATGCTCCACGATTCCAGTTCGTATCATCTTGTAGATTGTCGGTTTGTTTTGCGTTGAAACGTTAGATTTGCGTGACAGTAATCTGTAGAGTAGCCCGAAACGTTAGTTTAGTGCTTGTCGTTTTTGTCGGGTGTGTTGGTTCCAGTTTAGTCTTGAGCCTAGATGGAACCCCAGGTAGTGGAGGCAGTCTGTTTTTGGGATGGGGTATTATTGAGGAATATTTTATAAGGAGTTTTCAGAGGGTGAATGATTTTTGCTCTTATTAAGCTTTATACACTAGAGTTTGCTCCAGTCGGCTATTTTTAAGACATGAAGCATTTTTGGTATCGGGATGAAAGCTGTGTCGTCAGAAAAATTGGGAGGTGAAGTTGGGGTAAAACCTGTCACATCAAGAAAGGCCCTTAAAAAATATGTTCATGTTGTTTTGTTGTCATGCTCAATTTGGTGGGATGTCCTATTGACTCAATTTAAAGAAAATAATTCATTCGATTTTTGTTTTTTGTTTAATTACAGATCACGATGGAAAATGGTGCCGATGACGGGAATATGATTTCGTAAGTTGTTTTATTTTCCCTATCTTCCTAGTCCTAATATAATTTTATGTTAGTGTTATTTTTTTTAAATTGTTTTGTCTTATTGATGCATACATATACAAATAAAGTTTTTTGGTCTACCCAATTAAATGACAACTTAAATGTAGTTATATTCTTTTTCTTTTAGTGTGGTAATACCAGTTAATGTCTTATTAGGATAAACATTAACAAATATAAATCTTCTGAACAAGCATTAACAGGTAGGTTATTAAACACAACGGCAATAAACTGAACACAATTTTTTTTTGCCTTATGATCTTGCATATTAGCCATGGTACGAATTCCTGTGTGTTCAAATTGGGGGTTATCGGGAAAAAAGGGCCAGAGGCGACGGTGGGAATCGAACCCACGACCGCGGCGTGAGAGTCTCTCAAGCTAACCATTCGGCTACCGCGGTCCCCTAAACACAATTATTCTAAAATTAATTCATGTCAAAAACCAGTAGAATTAAAGCCATAGTAGTATTTTTACATTAAATGTATTAAAAATAAATAAAAAATCAAGTATAATAAAAATAGATTTATAAGAGTTCTACATCAGAAAAATCATTAGAATGACCAGAGGTTAAAGCGCTATTTTGTAAGCTGCATGCATTTTTTGAAAATAAAGAGATTTTCCTACTTGTTAAATTTGGCAATAACATATATCGCAAATACAAATATGGCGAATTAGATCAACCAGGCCAATTCAATGAATGGATCGAGGATTGCTGAAACTTACAGAATGTCAATGGAATGAACCGTCTGCCAAGCTGAGGCAGCATGTACTGGAGTAAAAGAAATTGCATCGAACCTGTTTTGATATTCAAAGAGGCCCAAGACCCAGAATAAAAGTTCTTCTTTTTAACAATTGCTTTTGATTGCTAATACCGAATTTCCTTTCTCCCGATGGGTGAAATAGTCATTCATCGAGACGCAGATATTGTCATGGGTGACTACGCTCATTGGGTTACTTTTCAAAAATTTATGCCGAAGTTGAGTAGATTTAGAGGAGGTAGGTAGCGTTCCCGGGAAATTTGCCCTATAAATACCTAATGGCACATAAATTGGAACGGAGAGGAAATGGAGGAATGGTCGCCCTCTGGATCTGTGCAAATTTACGACTATGACAGCCGAACCGAAAATTTCCAGGTTAAAGAGACTTTTTTTCTGCCAAGGGGAAGCCGGGCCGCTTCCAAATCAACCGTTTAATCGACCATCCGAGCTCGCTTTTACTCACCAATCATCACTGAGTGGTAACATTTTGGAAAAAATCGCTGCCTTTAACTGAACTACATATCGATTTACAATAGATGTAATTGAAGAAAAAATCTTGTAACAACCAGTCGATTTTCTTTACGAAAGCAGCAATTACATAAAATTTTACGACAATTCGATACTTTCCAAATGATATATTAATAATATAATTAATTCAATTAACCCATGGCATAAGTTTAGTAAAACACTGTTGACCATACGCTAAATGATTAATCTTTTGTTTTGTTTTTTCGATAAATATTTAGCTGTAAACATCATAATTCTATCCTTACCTCATATTCGTTTACCGAGAAAAATTAATTCATTTGCTGTATCTATCACAGTTTTATAATTTAGGTGGTAATTGGAAAATTAAAACAATAAAATTGAACATCTATATAAATAATTCTCAAGTATTCTTTTTATTTAAAGTCTTGATTGAAATGAAAACTTTAGTTCCATACGCCGCAGCTCTAACCACTTGTGCTCACGACAGCTCAAGTGATTAGAGCAGCGGGCAGCGTATATCGAGACGAAGGTCGTGGGTTCGAATCCAGTTGGTGACACTAACTTTTTCATTTAAAGAAAGACCTTGGATAAAAAGAATAATTAATTGAAATAATTAATAAGTTGAATTATAACCGCTAATCATATATGGATTAATATAATTATTCTTAGGGCTCAACATTTGAAACAACGATTTTTCATGAACACTCTTCGTTATGATTGTTTGAGGCACTCTGTCAGTAAAAGTCAGTGGTGTAATCATAATCATCAGAATGCCAATAAAAGAGATTAACATCATAGCGGTAATATTATATAAATCCATAGACGATATTATTTGTATATATACCTACACAAATATAATAAAGAAAGTTTTGTTTGTATGTAAGAGGTAATTTCGAAATAACTACAGGTCCGATTTTAATTTAACAAAATTAGACACGGTCGTTATGATCATAACGAGATAGACATAGTTTTACCAGAAATTATAAATGATGGGGTGAGTGTGGAGTTCAATCCTTTTTAAAAAAGATGGTTCCTACTCACATTAAGTTGTTTCGCAACAATCCGGATTTCGAGCCCTTTAGCTCCTCCAATGTTGGAAATTAACAAAGATGCTTGTTTGAACTTTTTAGACCAAAAATTGTCCGTAATAAACAACCTAATAGAAATAGATGTATATAGAAAACCCACAACTACAGCCACTATGATTTCAGCGGATTCCTCCCACCTACGGTCTCAAAAGGCTGCAGGTTTCATTTGGCTCATAGACCGTACGTTAAGACTTCCATTAACTCCTGTTAACTATAAAAAAGAATTAGATACTATTAAAACCATAGCAAAAAACAACGGGTATCTAGAAATATTTATTGATAGGTTTCTAGTTAAAAGAATAAAACAATTAACTTTAAAAGAATCAACAATAGGACCAGCCACCCCACCATAAATGAATCATTAGGTTTCCGTTGTTTGCCATACATTGGTGAATTATCGGAAAAAGTCTCTAAAAAACATCCTTTTAAAGTCTAAAGACAAGGTAGAAAACTTAATAAAAAGCGGGGTTTACCAACTCAATTGTAATGACTTTAATATTAAATATATAGGTCAAAGCGGTAGAGAAATAAAAACGAGAGTAAAAGAAGATTTGCCTAAGTCGAACAAATTTTCTGAATTCAAGGACCATCTAAAAGAAACAAAACATAATTTCAATTCAAATTTAAATACAACAGTGTTACATAGTTTCGACAAAGGAAGAGAACTAGATTGGTTGGAGGAATTTGAAATTAAAAAATGTAAAATTGAACATGGTGATAAATGCATTAATAATATAACAGATTTTGATCTACCTCCCATTTTAAAAATGTATATAAATAATATCAAACGTCCAAATAATTAAACTAATTATTCTAATTATTATTATGTTTTATAATAATTTAATAATATTAAGATATTATTCTAATTATTTCATTTTTTATTTTTATTTTTTTATTTTTTATCTCTAATCACTTATTTATAATTAATTTCTTGCAGTATTTATTATTACAATTGTTATTTCTGTTATAATTCCCGCTTTTCTATATAAGTATATTCTTATTAGGTTGTTTATTATACAACAACAAAAACTACATGTCAAAATTAAACGCAACCCACTTCCAATTTTTAAAAAAGAATGATGTAAAAAAACAAAATTATTTACGAACGCATCTTAAACTTAAAAATACACTCCATGAATTTTTATTACCGAAATAAAATTTAAAAACTCTACTTTTTTCATTTAACCGAAATTGTAACAAAAACGCTCGAAACGTAAGGTACAGAAAACACCTTAATGGGGTTTAGAATTAAAAATACAATATCACAAAGTTACCCGTCAATAAAAATGATATAAAATATAAATAAATATAAGATATAAATAATGTCATCATAGAATGTATAGAATTCAACGAACAATACATAGAACAAAAAGAAATTGTCTAACCCGATTATAAATCAGGAGAATGACAGTAGATGCAAACACGATAAAACGGTACTATCGTCCAATATAAAAGATAGTAAACATGTCGCTGGCACACATAGCCCTACTATATTAGATGAAGAACTTGATAGTAAAAAGAGAGAAATTTTAGAAGCATTGTACCATAGTACAATTCAACGATAACGCGATATACAGAAGGAACTGGTGGGAAATTTACTGCATTGCTTGATCTAATGTTATAAAAAAATGAAAAATACTGATTTTGTCATCTCATTCGCGTTTCTTGAACTTTTTTTGGGGGAGCATTCTGAGCGTCCAAAGAAGACAAGATATGTGTTGCTTTGATTTTTAGGTATTCCCATTCTAATTAATACGATAATATTTATACAAATAATTCATAATTTGTTACACAATAACACTATTTATTTAATTATTCTGAAATCGAGAGATGCAGTCTGGGGTGATGTAGGTTTCAGAAAAACATTTTCTTTATCGTGCCAACGATCTCACTGGCACTCTCAACACGACACGTAAGAATAGCACAATCACACAGAAGACAAACACTTTAAGTGAGTAGAAATACTTCGATTGAACATATATAAAAAATTTTGCTTTGTATAAATTCACTTTTTTCCACATCCTACATGTCTTTGTTAAATGTAAACAATGTTTGTAAATCCCAGGCCCTGAAGATGATCTCAATAAAGATCGAAACGTTGGCACATTAAAGAAAATGTTTCTCTGAAACCTACATCACACCAGACCGCATCTCACGATTTCTAAATAAATATCGATTAACGGTCACTAATCACCACATATTTCTAGCGTTGCATAAATTCATTTTTTTCTTTTTCACACCCTACATGTATTTGTATAATTTAAATAACGTATACAAATCCCAGGCCTTGAAGATGATCTCAATAAAGATCGAAACATTGGCACTATAAAGAAAATGTAACCTGATGAAATACCTTTGAAAAATGTTTGATGTTCTGTACTATAGTGCTAAAATCATCCTGAAATTCTCCCAAACATTTTTATGAAATTCTGTACCAACAATATGTGATATTATCTCTTCTCATTTTCCGTTTTTTAAATATTCCTTTATTATTGGTAAGAAATATTTGCTTTTTTCATATCGTCTTCAATTATTTAAAGTCATTCACTGCCAAGAAACTAACAAATTATAATCAAAAATATTTAGTGAAATTTTTTTTTAAATAAAACATGAGAATGGCACTATCACA